ACACTCCCTGGTTGGTCGGAAGCGGCAGCTGGGATCGGCGGTTGGTCGGCAGCGGGGAGTGGTAGGCATTATGAACGTGTCTCGTAGCACTGAAGATCCAGGTGCAGGAGGGCCGCGTTGAGCAGGGGCTCAGTACGCGTTATTGATGAAACTACGCCCGCGGGTCAAGGACCGTGGCTCGTTCGTGTATCGTCCAAATTCAGTCTTGCAGTGCCAGCAGTAAGGTGCCATCGCAGTACGAGCAGTGGGCCCGAGTGGAGTCTTGTGGCGAGAGACATGCATATGTCGCAAGTGGAGACGTCACAATATGCGATTGCCGCCCGAATTCAGGCAGTCGCAGGTCGCAGATACTGGCAAGCGGCAAAGAGAAGAGAGGAAAGAAGAAGGAGGAAAACTCGCGAGCAGGGGAACTGGACAATGATGGGTCGAGAGCAAAGACTTTTTCTGATGGGATCAATGTTCAATCATCGGTTTGATCCGGTGTTGAACTTGAACATTCCGGAACATTCCGCTCATATATTCACGCTTACGGCGGAACGTGAATGGTGTGTAGGCTATGATTGACCTGAATTCTGTTTCAAAGAAGGTCCGCACATTGCAGAGCTAGACTTTCGGAGTCCGCGGACGCAAGTTCAAGTGCGAATCCCAAACATACTTCAGAACGACGGTCACGATGATTCAGTCATCAGCGAAATGGTAAAATATCAGTGCGCATTCGATGGCTGAATACTATGTTGCATGTGCGAAAAGCCCATTCTTGTCGACGGAGAAATAAAGATGCACTGGGTGAACATTTCAAGTTTTTGAGTGAAAACTGTTTTGAGTTTTACAGATATTTTTCACTGAAAAAGTTGCTGAAAAACTTGAAACTTTTTCAGAAGTTTTCACTTTTCAGCTGAAAATTCTGAAACAAAGTCTGAAAGTCATGAAAAAGTTTTGAATTTTTCACCAACTTTTTCAGTGACAAATTTCTGTAAAACTCAAAGTAGTTTTCACCAAATTTCTCACTCAAAAACTTGAAATGTTCACCCGGTAATGTAGCTAAACATTGGGCTGCAAGTCGGACGCGGGGAGTCGCCCCCCATCTACCTGCAATTAATCATTTGCCTTTGGTAACCACATGCACAGCAAGGGCGCACATCAGCCTTTTGACATTTCTATTGTGATCTTGTGCGGCTTTTTTGGGGTTGTGAGCTTGTCGACAACCTCACAAGGTCAAAAAAAAAGTTGGACACAAAAAGTCCCCCTCAGGAATGCCTGTTAGAGCCCAGCAGAGTGCTGGAAAAAAAAAAGTTTTTGGGGGGTAGGTAGGTAGGTAGGTAGGTAGAATTACACGGCCGGTCCAACTCATGAACGCCGGTTCCAGGGATTCCCCCGATGTACACGCACTATATATATAATACACCATCGTCCCTGGGCCTTGTCAGAACTCCTCTCACCGAGCTCACGGTCGCAGCAATCAGTCGTAGACATCAACACTCGCCGCGGTAGAGCAAAAAGAACGCTGGAAGACGAATAAAAATTAGTACATCAACTCGGGTTAGCCTCACAAGATACCAAACGAAACACTGCAACCATGTAAAGTTCCTACAGAACAAAAACACAACTTCAAAGGCCAAACGAAGGAGTACGTAGGAGCCCTAAAGAGGTAGCTGCCTCTCGGTGCTTCTGTGCATATTTTCCATCGTTAACTAATGCCGCATAAATGAAGTGACTTGGTTGTTCCCTTGTCCTTTATGAAGTTCATGATGTCCGTGTAGGAGGTAAAGCTTTTCAATTTTGGGAGGCATAATTCCGATTTCTGCGAATAAGGGGTGTGGATCAAGGGTACAAATTGAGCATTCGGAAGATAAACGTAACTTGGACTTGACACAATTGTTTTACGTTTACGTCTTCATTGTCCAGCAGATATCGCATGGATCAAGTGGTTGTTGAAGAGCGCCGTATTAACTGTGTGAGTACTTCACGCGCGAATCTTATGGAAACATTGTCAATTGCCATGCGATGATCATCGTGGAAAGTAGTGCGTAGGGTTAGAAAAGCAATAGGCAAATGAAATGGGCAGAAAAATATGGAGATGAGATATGTACAGGTCTTGCCCCAGGTATTGCACTCAGGTGTCCTGTTCAAGCGTCCGAGGATGCCTTCAACGCCGAATAGGCCCGAAAAACAGGATCCAGAGTGATGCGCACAGGAGCAGTTCGGCAAAGCAACATAAACTCAGGAGATGAGAGTCGCCTAGTAGCTAGATGTATCCGCGCGTGTGACACTGTGCGTCTGAGTCTTGTACTGACAAAGGATGGCTTCCGAGGTGGCAGTGCTCGCTGACTAAGGGATCAGGGCAAAATGGCGACGGGGACGAGGCGGGGACGGCGGCGGGGACGCTTAGGCATACCGTGGCACAACAACAGTGGGGGTGCACCGAGCAGCCTGTTCCTAGGTCACGATAGGGGGAAAACTGAGGAGCATAGCTCCAAAATGAGCTGGATGCACGACCACAAAAGTGGATGTATATGATTTTCTCTGAATTCCACTTGTCCGACGACGCAAGCATCTTCGCCGGAAGCAGCTAGTGCAGGTAGCTCCGAGGACTACTGTGTGCACTTTCGGCAGCGACAGAGTGGCTCGGAGGCTGCAGAGCAAAACTTCGACTTTGAGATGATGGTGGTGGGAACGAGAGGATTCAATTTTATCTTGTGAGCTTTTTTTGTAACATTGTGATGTTGCGAGCTTGCGGTTTGTTGCGTCTTTTTTGGCCTTGTTTGGCCTTGTACAAGATCACAATAGAAATGTCAAAAGTCTGATGCACCCTGCACGACATCCAACGATTTTATCTCTTTCCCCAATGGCTAACAGGTGACCACTACAACCAGGAACGTGGAACTGCAACGAGGTAGTGCTAAACGACAATCTTTTGCTAAGATCTCGGTCTGTGGTCCTCTGATTGAACAAAGAGAGTGCAGTGAAAGAAGAGTGAAACAAGCTAATCGGGTGTGGGGAGTTAAACCCCGCTTCTCTGCAAGCCATCAAACGTATACCGTACCTAATTTATGAAGACGTGCCACGTCCGATAATCCAATGCAAGTGTACCGGGAACGCATCCTATTGCCAAATTTCGGACACACACTGAACTCCTCGGGGGCGCTTGACGCTTTGAGGGATATTTGATAGGAGGAGGCAATATTTTTTGAAAAAGGGTAATAACAACTTCAGCCGCGGAGTAGATTGCGTTTGGGATCGAGGCGATACATATGTATTATGATGTTGAGTAATCGAAATAAGTGCAATGTTCGGTGAATTTCTGAGATAAAGGTTCTCAGATCTCAGCGAGATGTGAGGGATGTGAGTACATACACCGAATTTGGAAGATGTCAGATGAAGGTCGGTCAGTCGGTCGTTCATTTAAACGGCCGATAATATGAACGACGACGTTGCGCTCTGAAAGGAATGCAAAAAAGCAACGACTTCAACTCTGATGGATTTGGACGCGGGGAGTCGAACCCCGTCTCTCTGCAATCAATTGACCATGGCACAAGATGGACGAACGACAGAAGTGCACCCAGCACCACGTCCGATTATTCTACATCCCACACACCTAGATACATCCGACAAATCAGACACGAGTCGTAGGCATTGATTAACACAAACAATGAAGCTCAGACCTTACTTCCCGGCCGAAGAAATGATTAACCGCGGCCGAGGACAAATAAATCCGGCGCAGAGATCTCATTTAGAAAGAGATCGAAATGCAGACATAGAAGGGATGCAGCAAAACAAAACGCCGACCTTTGTTAGTCGGACAAGGGGAGTCGAACCCCATCTTCTGCTGGGAAGTAAATTCACGGTCGAGTTGAAGTAGATGCATACCATTGCATCACGTCCGATTCAATTTATACGGAACGCTGCTTGCTACAATGGGGGATTGGAATCAGTGAGCCTAAACAGGGAATTGGGTATCGGCGGCAACAATGCAAGTGCGCAGATGATCGCATGCGTTCCGGCAGGAGTCATCCTCTATTACGGGGAAGACTGATCGAAGCGAGGGGGAAAAAAAATGCCAATGAGCGCCCAGAATTGAACAAAACAGGATGGTGCTATGCATAAGTAACTGGAATATCAAGTTGCCTGCACGGCATGCGGTGGCTGGCAACAAAAGAATACATGACTTCTGAATCCGTAGGATGCGGGGAGTCGAACCCCTTTTCTCTGTCAACGAGAAGAAACCATGTGGGTCATTTTGGGCAGATGCGCAGCGTGCGCTACATCCTATGTAATGAATGCGGTACAGTGTTTGTCTTCCACGCCACCTTGTAAGCCCCGACCGGCTACTCAGGAATATTGGAGAAGGGATCTGTATAAATACAGCGAAGATACCCAGGCGTAAATCTCAACAGCGATCTACGGCGACGTGTAGTCGCGATGAATGCTCAAGGCCTCTGCAGCAAGTAGTCATACTTTGCTACTACAGGCTTTGTGATAGTTTGAGAAATACAAATCGAAGAGTTATTGGATCGGAGTCTAACCCCATTGATCAGGCTGGTAACAAATTGCACTCTTAAACTTGTAATTAGGAACAGCTGCGCGCCTCAGGAAATTTGAAACCAAGTCTCTTCTTTTGGCTTGTGTTGAGATGCGTACTTCAAATGCAATTGGTTGATGAGATTATATCACTCAGTGAACGTGGCAATATGACTTTATCAAAGATACTTGTATTCAAGGCTGACTGTTGAGATACTCCTTCCATCCTCTTCATTCTGGCAACCTTGGTGAATCTGTCTGTGCTATGAAGCCAAGGAGAAGAGCAACTGAAAATATCTATGCATCAGTAATTTAAACTCATTGCAAGTGCATCAACATGTTGTACTCAAGTCTCGCTGCTACATTCAGTTATTGGGCATTCCTCATTAGTGTGCCAGATAAACGGAGGCTAATTTTTTTTCATTCTGAGCACGACCTTGCAAACTGCCCTGCCCATGTTATCAAAAGAACAAGGAGCAAACGCCTGCCTAGCTCAATCGGATAGAGCGTCAGACTCTTATCCTAGGCGGGTATCTGAAGGCTGCGAGTTCGACCCTCGCGGTGGGCTAGTCTCTTTTGTTTCGGGGCGTTACGACTTGTCAAACTTTCATGCGTTGAAGATGCTCTAAAACCGAAAGGTCGATCCGCACTCGGCGGGCCACTTGTTCGTCAGCTCGGGGTCGTTCTGTATCGCATTTCTACATGACGGAGCCAGCCTATTGAAGGCGATGAAGGACGTACGGACATCTCTCTGAAGTTGCCCATGATCCAACTGGGACTCTTTGGCCCTCCAACATGCTGCAGCGGTGAGGTCCACTCGCGATACACATATTGCACCAGAGATACGACGAGAGAGCAATAAAACTTCCCGGCAGACTAGCTGTGCTAGTGAGAGCATGTTATGGATGGCGAAGTGGCAGGAGGGTCGGCCCTTGGCAATTAAAATGTCTCGGAGCCGCTCGGCTATTTGCGCTCCCACGCCCCGTCAACACAGCCTTCCATAACATAACCCCATAAATTCGCGGATAGGAACATGTTTCTCAGTAGCTAGGGTCGTGAGTCCCAGGTCGATGCAGGTTAATGCAAGAGGTTATAATCACAGCTAAGTTGAAAACCATGGACGAAATCTTCGATTTTAGTTGAAAGTCCGGCAAGAGTTCGGCATGTTCAACGACGTAGCCCAAGTTTGCCCCACTCTTGCCCCACTCCTTGCCCACTCCGCCTCGTATAATTTCAAATCCGCTATCCCAGGTGCTGACGATGGTAAGAGAATAATCAGCCAGGGAGCCAATTGCCGCGAAAATGGCGTGAAAACGGCGCGAATGTAATTTGCTGACATTGGTTCGTGCCTTTTTGCCGAGCTCTCAGCCAAATCGGAAACGTCGATCATTTTTTAAAAATTCAGCTGGAACGAAACTGGCGAACTTGAGATGAACTTCTCCGCTAGATCGATGAAATAGGAACTTGACGAAACCCATTAACGCCTCAAAGTCTCAATTGTTCTGGTTTAAAACTGCTCCGAGTTCGAATTGGAAAGGGAAAGCCGAGACAGATGGAGCACAACAAGAACCGTCCAATAACGGTGCAGCGGATACAGGCGAATTTGTAAATATCCTCATCAACACCCCCCTGGCGCGTCATGATCCGCAGCTTCCGTCCTCGACGTTCAACCTCCACGACATGGTTACCCGAAGCCTAAAATCTATCATAAATCACAATCAGACCTCATTAACAAACCAACACAAACCAACAGAGCCGCCTTGAAGCTACCAACTTGAACTACCGCGGACTTATGATGTTGAATGCCGGATCGTTCCGCCTCTCACCAAGTCAAATTTCCACTTGAGTTCGACCTGGTCACCTTAAGTCCGGAAGTCCCGATTCACACGCCGCTGGCCTAGAGTCGAGAGGTAACATACTGGTACAGCGACGATACCTTTGTCTTGGGTTGTCCCCGTCGCAGTTGTCGTTTCTCTTTTTTGGGAATCGTGGCCGTTTCGTATACTTACTCTGCACTCGGTTCGTGAGCAGACATGACGGGGCAGCAGAAATAAAATATACGCCCTGTGGAAGTCCGGCTCAAAATTTTGGGACGTGGAACCTATGAAAATCTCACTCATCCAAAGAAATGTGGCAATGGACAACCAGACATGCATCGACAACAAACCATGTATTGTTGAGGACACCCGACGGCATCGAGAGTCAGACTGTTAACAGAGCAAATTGTAAAATAGCATGGAGGGATGTGAAGCATAAGGAAGCGCAAAGGAAGCGTATGAAAAGCGTCTACACTGAGGCAAGGGGGTCCACTTCCGCTGTATTTTGAAACCCGTCCTAACTTGATATCATTTTTGCCGCTGAACACGAATATGCTTGTCCCATGGTTTTTGGTGAAGCCGTCGTGAAGTTGCAACATGAAAGATTATTCCCATATCAGGCCTTATCAGAGATTTGATGCGTCCAAAAGAAGGAATTTATCATGTGATGTCCAAAATGGTCTGGACTTTTGTGAAAGTCTTTTCCTTCAACATGGCACAAACTTCCAGTTTAACACTCGGAATAGATGCCGACATGCACTCTGACAGCCTCTGGCTAGAAAGAAATCCGCTCTCGGCGCAATTGAGGCTTATATAAGCGAAATTCCCACGGTAGTTAGTTAGTTGAGGCCCGATTCCGCTAAAAAAATAAATTTGTAGGTGATATCATTTTTTCTTATCGTTGGATCCCCTTGCACTGAGGTAGTCCGTGATGTTGAGAAGTAATATAAGGATGTAAGGGCGGAAGAAATGACGCTATGAAATTCAGGTGAGTGCATGGAATCCAAAGGAAAGATAGAAACTCACTCGGCGGGCAGTCAAACATTTGTCAACGGCTTTCAGAGGACACCAGTGAGCGCAAGAGTAACCGCCACGCATGCCGTGTAAAATCCACCGATCCCCGCGGACGTGCTGCCGGCAGAGGTCTTCTGGCTGAGTAGGTGCGACGCATCCGTTGCGCCAGGTGCGGCAGCACTCGGACTCGAAGTCCCATTGAGGACGATGTCGGTGGACGTGTACTCCGCCGGGACCGCAGGCGCCGTTCCGTCCGGCAGGACGGTACACTCCGCTGGGACCGCGACGGCCGTGCCCTCTTGAACTATGGTAGTCGCCGTTTCGGGGACCGCGACCACCGTCCCGTCGTGGAAGATGTTAGACGACGTTGCGGGGACTGCGGCCGCCGTCCCGTCGTGGAAGATGCTAGTGGATGTTGCCTGGACTGTAGGGGCGGTTCCATTCTGGAAGATGCTGGCCGATGTAGTGGTGGGAAAGTTCGGTTCGACCTTTCGGTTCGAACCTGAACTGAACCGAACTGAACACGAAGTTCAGGTTCAGGGTTCGGGAAATTGCTGAACCTGAACCGAAGTTCAAGTTCAAGGTTCGGGCCAGAGAAAATAAATTTGAACTGAACCGAACCCCGAACCGAAAAGCACCTTATTCTGGTGAATTCTGACCAAATTTAAGTGATTTTTGGCGGCAAATACCCTCCCATACTCACTTTATATGTCTCCAGGATTTGTTGATCTCGGGACAGACGGTAGGATAATATCTGGTCAACCTATTGGGATTCAAAACATTTTCCCCACAACACAGGTGGCATTTTTTGTCATCAGATTTGTCTGAACCACACAGCAAACACTCTGATTTTCTGCGAGTGGTCAAAAACACCTTCCCCAAATCATAAAAATTGTCCCTGCTCACCATCCCCTCTCAAATTTTGGTCATTTGGAAGGCCGGAAAAAATTGAGGTTCGAACGGGTTCGAACCTGAACCGAACCTGAACCCCAAGTTCAGGTTCAAGGTTCAGCAAAATGCCGAACCTGAACTGAAGTTCGAGTTCGGGGTTCAGCAAAATGTACCCTGAACCTGAACCGAACCGAACTTTCCCATCACTAGGCCGATGTCGCAACGACAACTGCGACAGTCGTGGCGTCGCCGCACAGGTACGAGACGGATGCCACCGTTGTGGCCTGGGAACCTGCTTTCTGAGTAACAGTAGTCGCCTGGGAAGCTGCTTTGCCAGTGACGCTGGTCACTTGGAGGGGGCTGTTGGTCGTTGCACCCTATTGATAGCAATTAGCGTATACTTCGAGGATGTGTACGCAACAATTAACGCACCTGAGCCGTCGACACCGCGGCGGTCGTCGTTCCCTGCAACACACATAAAATCAGCATTCCCCAATTATATACTGGGGAGGCGATAACACACCGGAACCGTCAGTCCCTGTACGCTCGACAGGGCCGCAAAGGCAATTGCGGCAGTAACGATGGTGCGCGTGGAGAAGTTCATCGTGAAGGGGTGTGCGTTGGTAGCAGGAAGGAAGGAAGGAAGGAGAGGCAGTATTTTTCAGGGAAGGAAATTATAAAACACACCGTACAACATCCAGGCCATCTTATGCCGCCCCCATATTGTTCGCCCAAATCGTTTACCTCCCATGCCAAGGGAAAGGATCACCCAGCTTCGTAGATGGTTGCCTTTGGTTACTAGGCACGATCAAGTTGAGTTTTCTTCACGGCTGATTTTCGCCGTCTCCTGAAGTCAATAATGACCGCCTTTGGGCAGCCAGAGCGCGCGATTATATGGTGGATCCATTCAAATATTTTTTCCCCTTCGGCCCATGTACAAGCGCCGCGGCTCGACGAAAAGAGCTTGCAATCGCCATGCCTCAATTTCTGTTCCTCAGCGTTTCGTAGACTTCGGTGCCAGGCCCAGCCGGTGAAAACTCGCCGCAAGCACGAATATTTCTCATCCGCAGCACTCCGCAGCACGGTGAACAGCGGAATATTTGCACAGAATCGGACACCGCCTGTCGCGCCCAAAACGTCATTGACAGACCTTGGGCGGTCTCCGAGGACCGTTTATGACGCTGACGACAGGAACTTTTTCAAACATTGTTTCCTCCTGGTGGAATCAGGGTTGGATTCGCTGTAGCGATGCAACGATGTTGCCTAGTTCCCCCGAGCAGATATAAACCAACTGTGCAGAAATTGTATCCTCGAGTCGACCAAATTGAATGTTTAGCCGTCTCTGAGGGTGGAGGCCCTTGTTGAGGATCTGCAGAGGTGAATCACCATAAGCCCCTGATAATCTGGAAGCATACAGAGTGAATAAGAACACGAAGGTACCCGTAAAAGTCGTGCACACCTCCTTTGTGAACAACTTTTGGACACGCGCGCCGGCAGTTTCTGTACGGGTTTCAAAGCCTTGGTCATTTAGGACAATGCAATGCACCTAGGTGCGAACGATCACCGGCCATCAGCTTCTTGAGATGCCAATGTGCGGCGCATCCAGCAAAGTTTTATTCCCAACAAGAGTACTGGCGGAGTCCAAGATTTCATATCGCAAGAAAACACGAATACGGGCGCTGGGTGTGTTCACGATGATATTTGGGAGCCTGATCAGATCGTCATCTGGCCGGTCCGAAAACGATCGGATGTCTCCTTCAATGAGCAGTCCGGAGACAATGTGGCGATTCCCTCGAAGCCACGGGTCAGTGAGTGGTTCACGCCGTAATGTGGTGAAGGACAACAT